AGAGAGAGAGAGAGAGAAAGAGAGAGAGAGAGAGAAAGACAGAGAGAGAGAGAGAGAGAAAGAGAGAGAGAGAGAGAAAGAGAGAGAGAGAGAGAGAGGATTTAATGAGCCCCTCTAACTAGAATCCTATGTTATCACTCTGAGGGTTCAGCACCTGCAACATGCCGACAAAGCGATTCATGGATACATGATGTATTGATATCCAGATAACCGGATAAATGCACAGTTGTACTTTACTGTGCTATTGGGATTATATCTGGAATCTGTGCAAATATCTTGCCTTGCCAATATTGATCTGCTGTGAAACTAGTTATATTGTTGTTGGAATCTGTGTGCAATACCCTCAGAGATATTTTAGTCAATACTAGCATGACAAAAGCCTTAATAGATTTTATTATGCTATGATGTTTTTAGTAAAGGTTGGATTTTTACAACATGTGAGGTGCTTTAAAAAGAGGAAGTAGATGGTACCTGATTGATCACTTTGAATTACTTTGGCAGGTGGTGCTCTGCCTTGTGGTATACCAATTGCATTTGCTTAACTCTGATCTAAAATGCTGGTTGCCTGTCTGCTATGGTTATCCAAATGATAAGCAGTTGCCAATACAAGTCACTGACTCAAACAAAGTATGCAGATCAGGAGTTCTGGCTTCACGAGCTGTGGGCTTGTTGAGTCAGTCACCAGGAAAGCAAACAGGTCAGTGATAGCAGTCATGACATCTCAGTACAAGCTTTTCTCTAACTCTTAACCTCCATTTTAAAACTTAGAAAGTTCTACCATCTTGATATATGTTCTAGTGACTGTTATCACCAAGACACAAAGCAGTTGATAAAGGCAAATAGGCTGTTCACTTTGGAAGGAATTTTTACTTTGCAGTTGAAGTTTCCCCTTAGCTTGGTAAATGTGGTAAAGATCTGTGGACTTTCATCATGTTACCATGTGCAAGCAAAAATAAAAAATAAATTAATTTTCCTTGCACATGATTGGATATTCTTTGCAAAGTGAAATTTCACCACATTCACCAAACTAGGGAAACATCCCATGCAAAGTGCAAATTGGCTTGCAATTCCCTTACAAAGTGAAGTCATCAGCCTATTTCCATTTAGTCAATCAACCCCAAAGAGACAGGAAATTCAGAATTTTACAGTTGTCACTGGAACAGTATGTGAGTGGATGTCTTCCAATTTAGACAACTGTTTCAATGAATACTTTCTCCTGCTGCATCTCCTGGACAGGCGGTGAAGGGAAATCTCTCCACTGGGACACGGACAGCAACAATTTGACTGACAGCTAATTTAACACTTCCTTTCTTTATCCACAACTTAATAAAATAAGTTTTGGCTATATACACATTTTAACCTTAACCATTAAACTGAGTCTAACATGTAATCATTTTAACCCTTGAACCTTAATCCCTAACCCCAATGTTAATCTAACCCTTAGGCCCCTTTCACACGAGCGGTCCGATCGGGTCTGCTTATCAGTTTTTCCGCCTAACCCGATCTGATGCTCTATGCAAGTGTATGGGCAGACCGTTTGCAACCAGTTAGCCCCGGCTCCGGCTAGATCAGGGAAAACAAAGAGATCAGAGATCCGTTTTGACGGACCGGATCGTGCCAGACCAGGGTAATCTGAAGTAAACGGACACATTTACTTCCGATTTCACTCAGCCATACATGTTGTCTGGCAGTTTCAGTTTTTTCCCCCATCACAAGATGAAGGAAAAAACTGTAGGGAAACGGATGTCAGAGCGGTACTGCTCTGATCAGGTGAGGATCTGTTTACGTATACTCTCCTGATCAGCCCATGTGAAAGAGGCCTTAGAATTTTAAATGTATTGGTGCCATATCTAGCAGTACTACAGTGACCATTACCTGTGCCTGGTCTTTGAGGCACTACTGATTCCATCCTGGAATTTGTCCATAAAGCACAATATTGTTTCATTGAAAAGCATAGACACATGAAAATCCATGTCCCCCTGCACATTAATGAAGGTGCCAAACAGCTCCTCCGTGGGTACCTCTGAAGTGATAAACAGAAAGATTGAATTATATTATATGATATTTAATTACATTACATTATATTATAATGTGACAGAATAAATCCAACATGACTGTATTAGTGATCTTCCTCCTGGATGGGATTCTTCTGTACGTGTTCATAGATTTCATACAATATGAGATATAGATTTCCTGACATATCAGTTTCCATAACATTTGTGCAAAGCATCTCCATCCTATGTATTGATTGTGGTCATATGCTGTGTTTCCACACAGATCTTAATGTCTGAACCAGGGAAGTTATTACAGAAGTTTAAGGTTTGGCTGCAGGAATACTGGAATGTGACAGATCTCATCTCCATCCTTCTCTTCTCTATTGGAATGGTGTTTCGCTTACAAGAGCAACCTTACAGCAGCTATGGGCGAGTGATATACTGTGTAAACATCATCTACTGGTATATACGCTTGCTTGATATCTTTGGTGTCAACAAGTATCTTGGACCATATGTTATGATGATTGGCAAAATGGTAAGTGAACCCTATTGACCCTTTAAATGCATAGTGTGAATTTGCGTACCCAACCTGTGCTTTGGTTTAAAGAAAAACTATATCTATAAAATAAAAAAGACTTTGCACATAGGCAGAAAAAGATACATTACTCCCCGTGTATCTTTCTTGGCCTATGTTATTGGCTCACTGCTTTTTCCAAAAGTATATACAGATGGAAGTCTGATTGGAGATATCCTCTGAGATACTTTTTGACACTCTGGCTAATATGGGATGCAAATGATGCTCCTTTTCATTTCACAACTCTGTCATTTTGAGAAAAGACACAGTGGGGCAAGCATTAGTTTCTTCAGGGAAAGGTACTAAATTGCAACAATAGCGATGTATCAACAAATCACTGAGATGGGATTGATGTTAAAGGACAACATAACAAATTTGACAAAACTGGAATTGTACAGCATGGAGCTAACAGAAATGACAATTCCAAAATGATTTCTTTCCTTTTGTCTCAGTATTGCCTTTAAAGGGCTTGTTGCGTTAAAAGTACAATGTTTTTTTTTCTCGGAGAACTGTAGACACAATTGTCTGCATTTATTCAAAGTTCTCTAGACATGTTCAAATTCCATTATCATGGATGTCTACACTATCCTTATTGACACAAAGAAGATTTGAACATAGCCTATTGGATACCACAGATATGTCAAGAACCTGTAAAGGTAGGATTTAATATCAGGAACAAGCCTGATATTAAATACCACTGGCAAAGATAATTATTTTGCTGCTTACAATATTACAGTTCTTCAAATGATAGAGCTGTGTAGACTTTTCACCAATTTTATATATCTTTTGTACATATAAACAATATTTATATAGTGCTTTTGCTTAGCTAGTGGTAATCCAAAGTCTGCTCCTTCTAGAGCACCCTCTTGTTTGTAATATATCCTGGTCCCCTTTTATATCCCACACTGTGGATTTGATAAGCCTTTGAGCAGGATCACATTTTTCCTCCAGGTGGCCTTAGCCAGTCCCTGAGCTTGTTGAGGATACCACTGATCTTGTGGAATCCTAATACACACAGGAAATGGTTCATAGCACAGCATGTTGTTATCAGTGTGGCACATCCACAATGTTATCACTGCTCTACCAGAACCAGAGAAATGAATGATACAGCACTGGCTACAGTACATTATTGGCATATCTGTTTTTCTTTCTTACTTTATTTCCTAAATGTTTTTTGTCAGGTAAATATATATTTGATATTTATTATTTTGTAGCTAGGTGAGTGTAATCGTTAATTATTCAGATAGCTGCTTTCCTGCTGAGTAAAGCAGAGTGAAAAAAGTGTGACACTAGAGGGTTAGGAGGGCCTGTATATTTGTAAAATAAGGATTTTATACAATCATGAAATGCAATGATACCGAATTTCAGTTTATGCCATTTTTAAAAACTAAAGAATTAAATAGACCATGAACAACTATAATTTCCCTTTAAGTGTTAATAGTACAACATGACTTGCAATGATAAACTTACCAAAATATAAAAATAAACTAGGTGACCAGTAATGTAAAATATAACTTTAGATACTAATAATCCGGCCAGAAAATGTTCATGATAATGTTTGCTATGTGCAGCATAGAAGGGCACATTATAAATACTGGGGGGATTTATGAAAACTGGAGCAGAAGAATCTGGAGCAGTTGCCCATGGCAACCAATCAGCATCTCTCTTCAGTTTGTTCAGTTAAGCTTTCAAAATGAAAGATAGAAGCTGATTTGTTACTATTAGCAGCTGCTCCAGGTTCTGTCTGCTCCAGTTTTGATAAATTCCTCTCACTGTGTTTTTACACCTTTATTAGATGAGTGACAGTAGAACTGCAAGTATTAAAACACTGTTTGATTTATAATTCATTGTGTATTGATCTATTGTATGTTTAAAACCGTGGACTGCTTCGTGCACCTATTTCTTCTCTTCAGTACACCTTAAACTTCAGAAGGTATTAAGCTAAGCAACATACATTTTTTAGGACTCTGAAAGACATTTTAAATTGCCTTTTTTAAACATCTTTCTGTAAATTTTTCAAGCTAACCGAATGAAAGAGGAAGCACAAGAGATAATATAGCAATATATTGGAAAACATTCTGAAGATATATGCTTTATGCTTTATGCATACAGTATATAAAATAAACCTGCATTAAAGCTTTTTTTTTTAATTTGCCCCAAGGGCTGCCAGTATGCCAGGACTTTGGTTGAATACCAAAAAGGAATTAGATTCAAGCTAGCTTGCTCATCTCACAGCTTTCCCACTGGCTCTAATTCAATAGTTAACTATTCTATGCAGACAGTGGGTGGCTTTCATGTGAGATAGTGGGAATGCTCTTATTTAGGCAATTGCTGGGCCCTCTTCTGAATAACATTCTGTAATATTTTGATCAACAGAGGGACCAGTCTGTGGGAGAGGACACAGAAAAAAATTTCAGATGCTTTACTATCCAATATAAACTAGTATACAGTACTAGCAGTTAAATAGGCAAATTCAATTGTAAGCTTATATAACTTGCAAAATGTGGCTTTTCCAATCAGGAATAAAAAAAAGAAGTGTACTCGTGTATGAATCCTGGTACTTTTTGGAGCCCAGTGTACAGTGTATTGTAGGGCTGTTCAGATACCAGTTCGGATACCAGGGCCAATACTTGGCATTTTCACGAGAATTACCAGGGTTGCAGTGGTCACAGTTGGGATCTGGTTCTGGCACTCCACCATTGTCCTGAAATCAGTAATCTGTATTGTTTTAGGAAAACTGTCACATGACAATAAACAAAAATGTATCAGTAATTGTATCTGTGAGCACTTAGACAAATATCCGTAATTGTACTTGAAAAAATGGTATTGGTGCATCCCTTATATATATATATATTTATTAGAAAACAAATAATACATTAAAACAGGGATGCACAAATCCCAGGAGTCCCGTGTGCTCCTTAAAAATGACAGCTGCCTCCTAACTTTTGAGTATTTCCCTGGTCTAGTCTTGGAGCTGGAAAAGTATCTGTACATTGCACTTGTACCTGTACCGAGTATGGTACTTGGTATCTGAACATCCCTGGTGTATTGTTTACTGTTACTATTAACAATTTTATGCGTAGAAGGTTCCTTAAATAGTAACCTATTGATCTCCCACCTACAATGATCACCACTGCAAAGGAGCAATTTTCCACTGACCACCAACATAAGGGCTTACTTCTACAATGACCAAGGGGCACCACAATTTTTACTATCTGCATTTCTTTTAAGTTATTATTATTATTAGTTCCATTTCAAGATTATACCTGAAAATAATGTTGTTATATACAGCAAGTGGGTGTTAAAAATGATCTGCCCTAGAGTCAAATACTCTAGGTATGCCACATTTTTTATTATTTTATTTAAAACCTACTGATCATGCAAATGTACTGTTACCTGTAGGTCTAATCATTTTTAGCAGTGGTTTCCTGAGACCTGATCATTATTTCAAGGTTTCCTCAAGGTAAAAAGGTTGAGAAAGATTTGTCTATAAGAACAGACATTTATGTTACTCCCTACTCCATGTTATGTTCATATTGACATAAAGGAGGTAGAGGGGTCTTCAGAAAATAATGATCACTATGCGTGATGTTATTTCAGCAACTTAGGCGTATTGCAGAACAGAAAGGCAATACATGTAAGGAAATTGTTTGCTTGTCCAGCTCCTGCTCCACCAATTGCTTACATAAAGCCTTAGATAAATGTTTCTGCTTAACAGCCTAGTGATCTCACCATATCTTCTCTGTAATATTCCCTCACTTCTCCTGTCAGTGGAGAGTAGATAGAGTTCTTCTAATCATTTTTCTTTTTTTGTCTCTGTATCCTCACTTGTGCAGATGATCGACATGATGTACTTTGTGATCATTATGTTAGTGGTGCTGATGAGTTTTGGTGTGGCAAGGCAAGCCATTCTCTTCCCCAGTGAGGAGGCCTCATGGAAACTGGCAAAGAACATTTTTTACATGCCCTACTGGATGATCTATGGTGAAGTGTTTGCTGACCAGATAGACCGTAAGCAAGTCTTTTATGATTCTCCCCCTACCTATTCAGGTTTTTAACACTGTATTTACAAAGTAATGTTGGGTGAGTCATGTTTCACCCAATACATGGCTCAAAATGTAGAAAACAAATCCCTCTCTAGTGGGAGCAGTAATGGAAGGGCTGATTTTCTTTTCTTGAATAAAGTAAGAATATTTGGAAAAACCTTAATAATGCTATAGTACTCTTCAGTCCAATGCAAACTTTTGAATGGTAATTATGGTACAAGCACCACCTACACCACCATACACCCAATTCCATGGCTTTCATGGAAATAAAATCTACTGCAACTGTAACATACCCAAAGGTATTGATGCATAGGGGGTTGTGTGCTGGGGCTTCTATACAAGTTAAGCTGAAAGGTTAGCTGTGTGTACACACATACCTCAATACTGCTGCAGGTGTCTGTAACTATAAGAATGCTAGTGGGAACATTTAACTGAAACTCAGTTTTACTGGGAGATAAATGTGGTTATTATCATAGTAGGCCCTTGTGTTACATAACCTAATTATAGGATCGTGTTTGTTTGTTTTTAGGCATCATTGCAGAATGACAATCTCATTAGTGTGTGGGTCTTTTAGATAACAGAAGCAGGGGACCCAAAAATTACTTTCTTTTAAGATCCCATCCTTTATAATTTCACAATTTTGGGCAGTATGTTTGCAAAGGTTTTCATTTATCCATGTCATGATATAGCTAGTAGTAGTTAGTTAGTCACATTCAGCTGGACTTGTCCTATAATGTTGAAGATGTTTTAAAGATGTTTAACAGCTTAGCCAAGTCACTTTTTCAGTTCTAATGAGTGTTATGAGGATACCCCCTGCATTTATATCCAAATGGATATAAATGCTGGGTTACGTTGTTAACATTAAAAAGAATGGAAGAAGCAGCTTGGATATGCTGCCAAACATCTTCAACATTACAGAACAGGTATAGTTAAATGTAAATGACTACTGTTAGCTACTATGGGCACTATTTCCTTAAGAAGGTGTTTTTTAAAGGCAGACAATGATCTCAGATCAATTTTTTTTAAAGGAATGTTATAAATGAAATATGTTTTGCATATAACAATAACAATGGAAACAACACATTGGAAAAGAAAAAGCTTAACCACTTAAAGGCCATGGTGTTTCACCCCCTTCCTGGCCAGGCCATTTTTCAGTATTCAGCGCTGTGGTACTTTGACTGATGTTTATTCCGTCATGCAACGCTGTACTGAAATGAATTTCATACAATTTTTTGGGGACAGATAGAGCTTTCTTTTAGTGGTATTTAATCACCACTGGGGTTTTTATTTTTTACTATATAACAAAAAAAGTACCCTAAATTTTGAAAAAAAACCTATAAAATGTTATGAAACATTTATTTTCACCCCAATTTTTTGGTATAATATAAAAGACAGGGTCACGTCGGGTAAATAGACACTAAACATGTCAACCTTTAAAATTGCGCGCGCCCGCGAAATCGCAGAAAACTTCCCGCAACCAAAATTGGCCATAGGCGACGCTTTAAACGTATTTACCGCTCATTGGGGGGGGGGGCGGCGCACACCCGCAGCTCCTGCAAGCGATCGGGCGTCTCTAGAGACGCCTGATCGCTTGTATGTAAACAGCCATCGCTGGCTGTTTACATGCTTACCGTTTCCCCTCTCGTGTGCGCGCTGAGTGCCGCACATGAGAAGGGGGAGGGGCAGGACGTCTCAAGACGCCCTCCCGCTCCTAGCAGACGTCCGTCCGGCCGTTCACAAACGGCCATGGATGGAAGGTAGTTAAAAAGCATTACCATTCACTCAATTATAGCACCTTGCTATTTGAAGTAATTTACATGTATATCACCATCTCATGTTATTTAGAAATATATTAATGAGATAAAAGCTGAAAAACCTGCAAACACAATAGGCTCAAATTACAAAGATTAAACACAAGGATAAGACTCTATCTCTTCAACCGTGTGGCTGAACTTTTAAAATCTCAATGGACTGTAAATAGCAGACACTTTTCAAGGTTGCCGAAGGCAGCCGAGTGAATAACCGACCGAAAGTGAGGTGAGCCGAACGCTGTTCGGCTATTCACTTCAGGCTTGTACGGCTAATTTCAGCCATACAACGGCTGAAATCAGCCGCACATCGGCTTGCTTCAGCTCGCTTTGGTTCGGCCAAACATGCCCAGCATGTTCAGCTGCGCTGAGGTGCAGATGGAGTTCAACACAGCAAATCCAACATCTGGATCGGCTGAGCCGAACCTCTGGCAGGCTACTCGCTGCCGTTCAAACTATTCTCGTAGGGGCCGAACGGCAGTGAGTGAATAGCCGAATGCCGCCAAGCCAAAACGAAAGAAACACAGGTAGCTTCTTACTTCTAATTATAGGGAATGAAGGCCCAGTCTCACTTTCCTTCACCTCTCATTTCACTTCACGCTTCAGTAAATTAAGCTTTTAAAGTAATTGTCTTTTATGAGGAAAGAGAACAGTAAAGGGAATTTAATATCCCCAAGTTCACCCGTACTGTGGTCTTAATTTATCAGTCAGTCTGAAGAAAAAAAAATGTCTGTTGCCCATAGCAGCCCATAGCAGCCAAACTGATTTTTCTCTGAACTGATTCTGTACTAAGAAAATGAAAATAACGCTGTAGGAAATATAGACTGCCTAGGACAATTGATATAGATTTTAGAATTTTATCGGTTTACAGACTTACTCTGCTTACGATAAATTCTTCTATTAGTGATGTGATTTATTTTTTTAATCAATTATGTCAGCTTAAGTCCACATTCATAGATGCAGCTTAACACCTATTACTATATTGTTGCCATAAACATGTTCCATTGAAGCTATTTTTTAAAACGCAGTGGGGAAAACAAAACTAAATTTTATTTTTGAGGAGCAGAAATATTTTGAGATTCATGTTGTAACTAGAAAAAGCAAGGGAAGATTTATTCATATTTACTTCAAATCTCCACCTTTTGTGGTGCATCTTAGCTTACCAGACATGCTTTTGTAACAGCATGTAGTTTTATGTGCCTTATTGTGTCAGCCAGGCTAACTTTACATTTAACAATGAGCTGATTTACTGCAAGAACTATGTAAAGTGAATGTAGGTCATAACAAGCTGTAATATTTCAGTTTACTGTGGTCAGGTAATAAAAATTATGAAATGTGCTTGGCGTAGCTTACTGCACTTTGTACATCATTACATTGTGTTCTACCCTAGTAAATAGGCCTGATAGAATGTAATTATAACCAAAATGCCCATTTATGTTCATGTTCAAGTTATCACTACATTTTACCCAGCAACAAAGAATATACATGAAAATCAGAAAAGTATACACCCTTTCTTCTTACCTTGCAGCAGGTTATCATCTCTGACATCTTATGGTGTCTTACCCATCACACTGCAAAAGCAACCAACAATTGCAGCATTTTGGACAATGTTCCTTCCTGTTGCGTTCCTGTTTATCTATCGATATGTTGTATTGCTTCTTATCACAGTTACTTTACTTTATATGTACATTATGGATTATAATAATCTTCTACCCATGACAGTGTGACTTTGTGTTATCCGGTGCAAATATCATCCGGGGTTAGTTGCACTGAATATTCTATGTAGCTTCTATATACCATTTTGTGCTCCAATAAAACCTTTTGTAAAAGAAAAGTATACACTCGCCCACTATTACAGGGAGCAGCTCCAGAAAGAATGGGGCATGCTTGAAAGGAAATTAATATGTGCAAGGTAAGCAAATATTGCCTGGTAAATATATATACTGCGCTTCCCTTTGTTAGTTATAAATGCAATACAATTATATGTTACCTGGTAAAAATGGACTATGTCATGTCATAAAAAATGGAGGATGGCGGAGTAATGTAATATTCAGTTACACAAATGTCTGTGAAATTAGGAGTTGAATTTAATAAAATACTTGTGCTGGATTTAATATTTAAAGTAATACCTTATGATTCGTTAGGTTCTCCTTTATCTTGCAGCAATGATGTATTGCATGTCAGTAGTGCAGCTGAGAAACATTGGCTTTTTCATCATGTAGGCTTTGCATAGTACTATCACTGCAATAAATAACATTTTCTCATTGTAGCTCATGTTGTAGAGCACTGCTTGTGGTTCTGTTATCTGAAATGAAAAAGTTTTCAGAGTACTGATATCCTTTCTATATGTAATGTAAACTGCATCTGAAGGAGGGATCTAAAACCCCAAAAGCTTGCAGATCTTATGTAATTAGTCATTGGGGTTAATTTACTAAAGTAGAAGAATGTTCATTGAGTCCAGTAAACCGCTACTCGCTTCATATACCAATCCAACTATGCACAGAAAAACATAGAAAATAAGAACTTGCACGTAATTGGATTGTTAATATAAATGCAGTTTCACTAATCCAATTAAATGGTATCATATCTAGATACAGTGAACTCCCAGTTTTCTGACACCCATAGGGATTGGTAGATGCTGGATAACTGTAGTTTCTGGTTGCTTGAGAGTTACTATTAACTCTCAAGCATAAAGCCTCCCCGCAGAATCATTCATCTGCACTCTAGACTCTACAGATGCAGTGAATGTAAACAGCGGGCAGTGGCGGGAGCAATACCCAATAGCAATGCCTGCTGTCAATGAGCAGAGGAGCAGACCTGAGAGAGAAAGTTCTACTCTGCTTGGTGGCTGGGTGCAATAGCCAGCCTGCTATTGGCTATTGCAATTTGAAATAGCCAGTAGCAGGCTGGCTTTTGCTCCAGCCCACTACCCGTTGTATACACTTAGCTGCCGGCTGCAGAATCTAGCCGTGGTTGGCCGCAAGATATAAATAGAGAAGTTTAAACAAATGTAATTGCTAACAAAATTGTTTAATGTACACATGTCTATCAAGCAAGCAGCCAAAAAAATCAAGAACATATGTCCTTAAGTTTTTTTTCCGATTGCTTGAATGCCTGATGTATACTGTATAATGTTTACTTGTACAGTTTTTAGTGC